TTGACTCACACGGTAATTAACATCCATATATAGATAGACATGGTCTCCTACTGCAGAGGTTCCTACCATGTGCCTGTTCTCTGCCATCCCGTCTTAAACAAACGCATTGTTAAACCTGTCTTTCCGCTTTCAATACTTGGTCTTTGTGTTCTGAGCCTGACATGTTTATGTTTAGGGACCACACCAGAACAGAGAATAAAATAGATATTGGTTAGAACAATATGAGAGAAAAAAAACAAAACTTAAAAAAATCATGGAGGAGCAAGATCCCATGGGAAACCTGATGGTTTCAGATCTGTTACCACATCTGTTAGAAAAGAGAGAGTCACAGGCTCGAAACATCATAAAAACCACAGAGCAAGCAACTGCAAATTGAGGATCAGAGTCATGAGGTTAAATTAGAGCCCTTGTGGACAAAACCTTTTCAACAAAATAAATTAAAAAGTTTTTACTGGTCTCAACTGAAGTTTCCAAAAAAAAAGAGATTAAAGGAGCTTTAAAAACAGAGTAAATTATGTTAAACAGGACACAAGGATTGTGTCTGTTTGATGAGACAAATTCCAGAAAAGTTATTTTTTCTTCTTTAACCGTAATTTTGTAATGACACCAGCAAAACACCAGCAGTTTTTTATGATCTGATGGGACATGTGCAGTTTATTTTTTTCCCACCTTCGTTTATTCACTTTTGGCAGCCCTGGTCCACAAATCAAACCAAGGCTTAGGTTTAGATTTGAGCTGTGTTGTTTTTAAAGGAGCTTCTGATTCTAGGATTGTTTTACATGACAAGTTGAATCAAGAGATGAGCTCCTTTACTCCAGAGGCCAACACCTCAGGAAGAACAGGCAGCTGAATAAAAGCCTCCGAGCACTCCTCAGCAGAGGATGAATTAAGAGTCTGACAGCGAAGTACAAAGAAACAGGGTTCACTTAAGGCTGCTTAAAATTAACATAAAATCAAATCAACATAAGGTCTGAGCTGCCAGAATCATATATTTTCACATTTAGACACAGGCAGATGGTAACAGCTGTAATTGTGTACTGTCCCTTTAAGATAGCGTGGTACTGCTTCTCTGTAGAATGCAGGAGAGGTGATGCAGAGAGATACAGGTACTCAGACGGACATATTATTTTATCTTATTTTTCTTTGTAATTTTAGGGATTGTTTGGACTCTGCTCATTTGCCATGTGTGATAATACAGCAACCGTTCAACCGGGCTTTGTATGGTTGGTGAAGAGCGTGTTTTATTAAATTGTGACACTGTGGAATTCCAATTACCAGTGTGGCTTTGAGTTTTTGACAGCCCTCTCCTTCCTTAAATGCAATCCTAAGCATTACAAGACCATGAGACTATTACACATCTTCCCTTTTAGCTAATTTAATTCAACCTTTATTTCCTAAAAAAAAAAACAATGGAGCAATAAAAAACAGAGATATGATTAGACTTAGTTCTAATCCAGTTAGATCAGCTTCTTCTACAAAATGTTCTACCATTCACCGAAAAGTGCAAACATGTTTTTAAATCTGTGAAAGACAACAGAATTTTTAACAGCCGGTTTCAGGAGTCCAACCTTTTATGTAAGAGACTAAGAATTCTATTCTAATTATTTAATATATTAATAATCTTCTGGTAAACTTTCACAACAGTTACAACAGGCTATGGCAAGCCATTTTGATGTGTAGTAGTTTGACTGAATATGTATTCCTGAGATCTGAAACAAAAAATATTTCTTCCTTGTCAAAATGACCATCTCAAACAAAATGACATTCTTCACATCTAGATTAATTTCACATCTAGATCAATATTCTGGATGTGTAGAAATTAATTTCAGGTCTCCATATTCCTATTGTTAGTGGTCTGCATCTGTATTATTTTGACTATGACCATTTTCAGTCAAGTTGATAAATGTCAAAATGGCCATATGCTGCTGATTCTCAGTCATCCAGGTCATAGTCAACGCTAACTCAACTTAACGCTCTTTCTTCCTTACATTTTGAATTGAAAAAGCTTCCTGGATGGGAAGCGAAAGTCTTCAAAGTTGGAAACAATGTCCAGTTGTTTGTTCTTTAACTTTTTTTGGAAAGTCAAAATGGCCACTTTGTCAAGGCTCAGAAAATCTGAACAGGAATTCAGGCAGACAGAACAGGTTTGTTTGAAAGTAAAACACTTTATTGATTGGTCTGGATTGTGTGGCTGGTGAGCTGGGACCGGCTTGCTGGATTCTCTGTAGATACAGATTCTCAGGATAGTGACCACTAGACTCGTAATAGGAACAATAACGAGCATGAGAGTCACTAACCCGGTTGTTAGTTCTGTCCGTGTCCAGAGGAAGGAGTGGGAACCAGTTGGATGACTTATCCACAGCTTGCGGCTAGAGCTGCTCAGAGATTTCCAGGTGTGAGGCAGAGCAGGCTGATGAGTAAAAGCCAGCTGACGCAGAAGATGCAGAATCAAGAGCGGCTGAAGAGGCAGATGTCCAGACCAGAAGATCAGAGAGATGCAAACGTGCCAAAGGGAAAATACAAGCCGAGGTCAGGGGACAGATCCAAAGTAGTTAACAGGCATAGTCCAAACAGCAGTCCAAACATAGGAACAGGCTGAAACAGAGTGGAACAGGGGCAAGCCAAAGCTCTAGTTCCAGTGGGGTGATATAGGCACTTCCTGTTGCCTGTCGTCATGCTGACTCGTCGAATCGGGACTCCACTGATGATGGGTTTTCATACTTGGATCAACTTAGAGTTGATTGAACTAATTCATAGCAGCTATTGTGAGCTCCGTTGTGAAAGACGTCGTGGCTCAGATATCCCGACCTTAGGTCAGATCAATTTAGAGGTGCAGATTTGAATCTAAGTTTGCTAAACCTGCTTTGCGAAATGGACCCCTATATTCAAAGACAGAGAAACCTGTTAATGGATGTTGTTTTTTTCAGTTGAAGGGTTTTGTAGAGAAAAAAACATGAATGTTGCTTTATAAAGTGAGAAGTGATAAAGAACACTTCAAAACAGAGGGCTTTGAAAAGACCAACTGAATTAACAGACTTAGTAGTATGACACCTTTTGTCTTTATCCCATCTCCAGGAGGTATGTTTTTTTTCTTTCTTTTTTTTGTTTTAAATGAACATGTTAAGACACTTTTCTCTGTGTCACAAATATAGAAAGATAAAACAGCCCTCTCCCAAACCTGTTTTAATGTTGGTTTTATAAAACAACCTAAGCTTATGTTAAGTTATTTTAATCATTAATGGCCCTTTTTTAGCCTGTAGCAATGAGGAACACAAAAACTGTAATGCTACGTTCAAACTGCACATGCTTTGGGTGGCAAAAAAGTTGCTGCTGTTTCATTTTTGTAGCTTGTACACATTAATATCAGATGAGCTTCAGGAGCATCAAAGATGCGTCAAACATAGACTTTGCATGTAAACCAGCTGCTTCTGCTGCCCAAAGCGCATGCGGTGTGAACATAGCATAAGAAATCAAAAAAGCCTACCTGTTAGCTTATCTTAGCATTTCCCTGAAGATTAACCTATGCCAGATAATGTTAGTATTTGTATATTGCATACAGTTCAGAGGATTGATGATTCTGGTCATATGAAATTTCTTTTTGACAAGTCTTAGCTCAGCTATGCTACTGGATCACATTCACAGATACAACATTGTAACTAAAACCTCCTAGGTGGCGATATGTGGCTGGTGTGTGTACTTTCTGCTTAAAATAAGGGAAATAATTACTAAAAGTGATTTCTTGAATATAGGTGCAGGAGCTTTACCTGTTAGCCTTAATGACTAATATCTACATTGGAAAAATGACAAATATATACTCAACATGTTTAAAACAACATTTCTTTTTCATTAATTTAAGAAAAATGAATTCTATTCAAGCTAGTTATATGGAGCCCAAGCTGACATCTGTACCATACCTTTTAGTATGCAGTACCAAAGTGTATACCTCTGGTACTGATTATTATCAGTTTATAATCAAAGTGTGCAACATGCAATCAGTATAACTTAATGCTAGGTAAAATGGACAGAATATTTTATTAGATTCCTTTATAGACATGTTTGAACCCATTTACAAATGTTTCAGTATCACTTGTGTAATATCCTTCAAAGGATGACAAAATGTTAATAGTAACAATTATCACACTTAGACTTGGATGACAGAAAAAAAGGTACAAAAGTGCATTTGCAGTAATAAGACAACATAAGGTAGTGCCGTAGAATAACTCATTTCAACAATTTGCACATTCGTTTTCATGCTTAAGCTAAACTAGTTGTATACATTTAAGTATTTCCACAAAACTTGCAGTTCTTCAATTTGTATGCCTTCATATTGTGTAAAAACAATGAAATTTTCTTACACCCTACCCATGTGTACAGGTGTCCTCCAGGACATAATAACCAGAAGTGCTTTAGAATAAGGAATCTGGACTCCAGCTCTTGTTTCATGAAGACGCTTTGTACAATACATTGGCTGAATGGCTGGTAGAGGTGACTCAAGAGTTTAAATGCCAGGATAGTGACTCTAACTTGGAATTTGCACTTGGACAGTGTGGCTGTTCCTCTAGCGACTTACAGTATAATCCAGTTACATCCAGCTATGTTCAGAAATGAATTAGTCCGGAGCTGACAGATGAAATGTTTAAAAAAGTTATGTTGTGTTATGTTCTACTTAAGCATCCATTAGGAAAACCTATTGTGCGTCTTCTGTAAGCACCAACCACAAAGTTTAAACCACCTTACCCTTAGCTTCAACAACATAGAATAGAATCTAGGAAGGAAATCCTTCAACAAACCCATGATGTAAACAGAACTAACTTCTTTTCCTATTCTACTATTTTCAAATGACTGATTTTGTAGGTTAAATTTCACAAAGCCCCCCCACACACCACTAACATCACTTTTATAATCCTGTTTACCATGGACCCACTCCAAATGATCCCCTAGAAAAAGCCAAATTAGTGGCTTTTAAAAAAAACGTATAATCAACCCTTGGTGATCTTCTTCTAGTTCCCCACCATGTTTGGCAGGACGCTCGCATCCTCCTCTACATCCTGGGTCACAGTCTTCCCAACCAGCTTGAAGATCTCCCCAGCTGGGATTCCAATTGGCTCAGCCGCCTTAACCCCCAACATGTCCAGAGTTAGGACCGTTCCTTTGGGGATCTTCACCCTAGCCACCACAGACTTTCCCAGCTGGAGGCACAGGAATTAAGAGGAAAGCTTGTTATTGTCTGGAACT